CTGCATGCAATGGCTGATGTAGCTGCCTATCCCACTTCTCATCAATAAAACAGGTTTGTAGCGGTTCTCATCATCATCAAAATTTTTGGCTATCTCCCTTTTGCATTTCTCCATAGCCTCATATATGTAGCTTATAGAAGCCTTGTCACTATCAACCATGCGAAGGAATTTGACAAGAAGAAAAAATGCCTTAAGAGCGCCCTTTACCTCTTGCCAAAAAGCCTTAGAAAGGATAATATCTCTCACATTCTTCCCAACCTTATCCTTGAACCATCGCATGCTCTCCAGTCATCTGTAGTAAACATCTACCTCAATTGCACTCTCCTCGAATGTATGCTATCTAAGCATAAGTACCAGGTCGCAAATCTCATGACCCTAGGCTTCATAAGCTCTTTCTTCTCTATAAATCTACACATCATGCTGAGGGTGAGACGGTGGCTATAAATGAAATTTGTAACTGACTCTGCCTTCTTCACTGGACCTGATATCTCGGTTATACCACCAAGAGCCTCAAGCATGAGGTCTATACAATGTGCTGTACATGGTGTCCAAAAGATTCTAAGATAAGTTATGCGCAACCAATTAGCTGCAGCAACACTAGGAGCAGCATTGTTTGTGACAACCTGTACAACAAGATGCTCCCTAACCTCCTTGATTCCCTTCTCTATAATTTGGAATATATAATGGGCATCGTGGATATGATCAGAGGCATCAATAGACCTAAAAAAAATAGTCCCTAAAGGACAATTCACAGGAAAATTCATCTGACTTCTTCTCTTCTTATCACTCCAAGCATCAGTCATAATAGTAACCCCATATTGAGCCCATGCATCATTCTTAACTTCTACAGCCTCCTTCGTGACACTCACCGCTTTTTTTAAAAGAGGCTCTGAAAGCTCCTATGGGGTTGGGGGTTTTATCCCAGGCCCAAATTGGCAAGTTGCCTCTACCGCGGCATAGAAGTTGCTTAGGTGAGCAATATTGAAAGGAATGCCCGCCTCATAAAACCATGTAACAACATAATAAGCAGCTCTATCTCTCTCTTCCTTCTTCATTCTATTTTCAATAGTGGTTTGCTTCTTTGTTTTCTCTCCTGCAGCCTTAGGGTTAGACCGTGGCAAAAAACTATCCTTAGGGCCTCTAACTCGAGGCGTCTTACTCCCAGAACTAGAAGCAGTTACAACTCCCTTTCCCTTTCCCCTAATAATGGATTGTTCTACCTCTTGACATCCCTCCCCAATCCCATCCTCATCACTATCATCATCATCATAATTGACCCGAACCCCAGACCTAATATCTGCTATGGAGGCAAATCTCTCATATTTTTTCATTTTTACTAGACTAAAAAAATTGGTTATTTCCTCTTTAACAACATCAGGAGTCTTTTTACATGGGGCAACATCGCTCCTGATACCCAGTAAGATGTTTCTTGAACCGGTTTATGCCCCCTTTTGTATCCTCACAAAACTTGTATCTTATGCAATTCTTATCATCAGGATCTGCGTTGTAGCTATATTTCCAACCGGGATCACCACTCTTAATAAATCCCGAAGAAGACATCTCAAAATAATACAACTTATACAAGCAATAAAAAAAATCACTTACTTCGAGTTTGATTTCTCAATCTCTAAACTTCTACCTCAAAAATGCTTCTAAAGAATCAAAATCTTCTAAAAAACCCCCCAATAGATTTATTAAACATCAAAAATTAAATCTAATATCAATGGGTGATGTTTTGATCAATTTCTCATAACTTTGCTAAACCCTTCGATCCTAAAGAAATTATCAAAAACTAGTTCTCTCTCTAAAATGGGCTCTAATGAGTTTTAGGTTTTAAATGAACCTAAAACCCCATTTTTGGCCCCTTAGTATAAAAAAATGGACAAAAATAGCCCCCACTGAAAGCATTTTCCGCCTCTGGGCGAGGTGCTGGACTTGGACGGCTGCCTAGGTTTGGGCGCTGGGCAGCCGCCTAGGCAGTTTCCTGGGCACCTAGGCGGGAGCTCAGGAACTTCCGCTTTTTTTGGGGGCTTAAGCCTAGGCAATGCGCCCAGGCCCAGATCCACCTAGGCGGCCTCCCAGGCGCTGGGCGGTCTGCTTTTTGAGACACTGGATCCTGGTATCCATTATCTAAAGTGTTTCCTAGGTATAGAAGTTGAATGAAAGAAGGTAGGATGATACTTGGGCATGGCAAATAGGCTTTGGACCTTTTGAAATGGACAAAGACGTTAGATGCAAAACCGGCCTTTAAACCTACAGTTCTGAATGGATGATAAGGAGATTGAAAGTTTTAGGTATTGTATTTCAAAACCAGAAGTATATAGAAGTATAGTTGGTGCTTTACAATATCTCACCCTCACAATACCCAATATATTGTATGTAGTCAATCAGGTGAGCCAATATATGCATAGTCTTAGAGTATGCCCAGATGATATTAAGATACATAAACGGTACTACAAATAATGAGCTCTTTTTACTTTTTTTTTGACCATAGCTCATTTACGTTAAAAATAATCCTAAGGACATGAACCTTTTTAATGGTTGCAGTCGTTTCAAATGCCGACTGGGCTGGGGACCCACGTGCTAGAAGGTTAGTTACATGGTATTTTGTGTTTGTGGGCAACAATTTGGTATACTGGTATAGCAAGAAACAAGGGATGATGGCAACATCTAGCGCATAGGCTGAGTATAGGGCCATGGCATCGATCACTTCTCAAACTTACTTGGATAAGAAGTCTTGCTATGGTTCTTGGTCTCAAATTATGTAGTGCCGTTCTATATTGCATTAATCAAAGTGTAATAGCCATCGTCATGAATCTAGTGCTCTATGGAAAGACCAAATGTATTAAGATAGATCAACTTTTTGTGAGAGAGAAAATTAAAGTAAAAGAATGGTTGCAAAATTTGTTGGGATCAATGAATAGGTGGCAGTACAAAGGAGCTGATCAAGTAGAGACATAGACTTCCAAAGGGCAAGCTGTGCATGATTGTTACTGATGTATGTAACATGGTTTGCAAGGGAAAACTTGTAATGTTCTCGTATTATGTAACTATCAATATTGTCATAGACATGTTTGTAATATATTTTGTTAATCACATATATAAATACAAGGATGTCCAAATCAGAAACAAGTCTTGGATGTCCCCTTATTCTTTCCTCCTTGCTTGTGCTTCCTCTTCTTTATTCATGAATAATTTTCAGCATTTCAATGAAATCGATCAGCAAATCAGTTATCCAGGAACTCCTAAGCACAATGAATAAGCAAAATGCTGGAACTGATATTTCCTTGTAGTGAGTTGATCCCTCTGGATTGATAAGGCAATTACAGGGACATAGGTGTGAAGGTGAAATAGTTCTGACTGCACATTATTTTGTAAATGATGTGCACGTGCATCCTGAAGCCTGTCTCCTTAGATTAATGGAAAATTATCAAAAGCCTTTTAATATCTCACATCAGTGTCATTGGTTGTGTCTATTATGTTAAATTTCATCAGAACAGTGACAAGCTTGATGCTAGGTCCGCTAACTGTGTCTTTCTTGGATATATCACTCACTAACAATACATGTAATGATCCTACTGAGAAGAAGCTTTATGTCTGCGCAATGGTACTTCCATCATATGTCTTTCTTATTTTCTAGAAACTGGAGAGTTGTCCCTTGGAGTGATAGCGAACCTAGATAGGCTGCACGTCATAAGCCTTTACATATTACCTATTATGACATCCTATTCAGATTGTTGTACAATGAGAGAGACTGAAAGATACCAAGGAAAATGTCAGCCAGAACATCTTTATTTTAGGAGAAAGGTAGTCATACCAATTGATGGAAAACAATCCAAGGACAAGCACCAGGTAGTTTGCATTCTCATTTTCATTTACCTGTTGCTTTAAGAAAAAGAAAAATATTTGATTTATCGTTTCAAACCTTTTTTATGTCCTTAAGTGCTGTAATTTACTAGACCAACAAACAGTGGCACTTATCAGAGGAAAAGCTATGGCTTGGGCCGCTTGGCTATAGCAATTTCTTTGCATAATATAACAAAAGAAAATTCGCAACTTGGGAGGTGATTGGACATTGCCAGAATAAAGCTGTATCAGTGTAAAATAATTTATCAAATAGACAATGTATGCCTGGTGATTCTAGAGAAATAGACAAGAAGCTGAAACTTTGTCAAAGTTTTGTTGTTCTTGAGATGTGATATGGATTGAATTACATTCATTTGAAAGAAACGGTTGCTAGTTTTCCTGTTATATAAAATTAAATGGAGTGATTGCTTAGTGTTAATATGCATGTGGAGTGGGGTGTAAAAGGCCACCCAGGCAGTGGTCTGGAGGCAGGGCAGTGGAAAACTGCACAGCCAGGGCCGGGCAGGTTACTTAGATCAACTTAACTTGGTGCCCATGCATGGACTGTACAGCCTAAACTGCCTAGACAGTTGCATGTTAGTTAAAAAAAGGGCAAAAAAGAAACCAAAGTTCTATGTTCCTCTTCTTCTTTTATTATTATTATTATTATTATTATTATTATTATTATTATTATTATCATTATTATTATTATTATTATTATTATTATTATTATTATTATTATTATTATTATTATTTACCACTTGGAACTGGCTGCATCACACTTTTGGTTACATTACTGTATGTAACATTGTGTCGTCAATCGGGGCCTTGAACATCATATCACTTCTGATCTTTCAGCATAAGCCTCGCCTTGCACCATTTTCCCTGTATCATTGTCATGGTTACCATATGCATGGCCTGAGATCCCTTGTATATTTGAGAGTCTATATATCTTTTTGGACAAAGCAAACTGCCTCTTCAATAATAGTTTGGCATCTTCAGAATTGTGTTATATTCTGTCTTGACCTGTTGTTATGTTTTCCACTTCTTATATTTTTTGTGTTGTCTGCCACAAAGAGTATGTGGAAGATCTTAGTCTTTGTTACCCAGATGTCTATACTGGTTGGCTAATTGTTTTGTAATTTCACTTTCAGGTCATGTTGGTGTTCTTGCTCACTTAAAGGATGCCATGTGTATCTGGTTCTTCTATTGTGCGTCTTGTTTTCTGTGGTTCTATCTTTGCCTTGTGCATCGAATAACCATTTAATTTCTCATGCAAAAGGTATGAAGTCGGTCTTGGATGATAATGCATGTGTCTTTTGCAGCGGAAGTGATGAAAGTCTTCTGGATTTACTTGTGGGTGATGTGAGATCAACTTATGCTCAAGAAAATTTAAGGGTGACTCCCATCCATGGTAGTTCTTGTACCGAATCTGACTTCATGTGCTTTCCATCAATGCTGCATGATTTTGTGGCTGAGAAAAAACCCTGCAGAGCAGCTTCTCCAGAAGTGGTGTCCAAGGAATTAGATGGCACACTCTGTCATCATATTGGGGACGTTAACTCTACTAGGTCTATGGAGAATATGTTATTTAAATTATTGAATGGAATGGTTGTTTCCTGTTTTTTATACTCTGATAGGGATTTTGGTAGAAATTCGCCCTTCCAGGTTGATAATGTCGATCTTGCTGGGTTCCCACATGGATATTCAGACCCTAATGTTGCACTGAAAAAATCAAGCACTCTTAATCTAGATTCATATGGAATTAAGGGGGGTTCTTCATCACCACATGTGGTAATTAGCCCACCTTCCTTAGACTGGGGGTGTAAATATTTATTTTCCCCATCTGTAGAATTTCTAAATGTCACAAACACATGCAATGATAGTATTTTGCATATTTATAGACCATTCAGCTCCGATCTGCAGTTTTATGCATACAATTTTGATGATACGTTGGTGGCACCTGGTGACACAGTTTCAATTTCTGTTGTCTTCTTTCCAAAATTTTTGGGCTCGTCATCTGCTCACCTTGTATTGGAAACTAGTTCTGGGGGATTCATAGTTCATGTCAGAGGCGAAGGAGTAGAGTCCCCCTACGGTATACAGCCTTTAGTATGGCATGATGTGATATCAGATGGCAGTTTGCTTAAGAATATAACCATCTACAACCCTTCTGATGACATTCTTCGTGTTGAGGAAATAACTGCATCGATTTCAGTTTCATCTTCTGACAATGGAGAAGATTCTGTACATGCAGTTTGCAGAAGAGATTTACGTCATGAGTTGGACGACCAACTTCATCCAGTCCCAAATTCTAAGGAGCGCTTGAACTTCAAGACTGGTCAACTGGGATTGCCATCACTTGGTTTAAGGCCATATAAACAGTGGGAAGTTGATCCTCACAGCAGTGAAACTATCATGGAGATTGATATTTTTTCCCATATGGAAGGAAAAATTTCCGGGTTCTTTTGCATTAGACTCTGGAATGCTTTCGAAAATAGCATCGATACTGTAATGGTTCCTCTTGAAGCAGAAATTTTTGGCATAGAAGCATATGGTGCATCTGAGGTTTTCTTTTCCATATTTCTAGAATCTCTTACCTCCTGTGATGGTAAGGAATTTTTTGTTATTGCCCTTTCTCTGAGGGACGGGGCTTCAAATTTACTTAGGTTGTGTGAAATTATTGAAGTAACAGAAGGCACGAAGGTGTTCCATGTCCAATACGTGCACGGATTAATACTTCTTCCAGGGACCACCACGCGTATGGCCGTTGTGACCCTCAACCCTGTTCCTTCTCAAGATCCTGAACCCAGACCTCCAACTCTTTCACCAGATTGTAAGCTCGTTATAGTGACAAATGATTCTGTTAACCCAAGAATCGAGATTCCTTGCCCAGATTTTTTCCAGATTCATCAGGAACATCACCGTGGTCCAGTTTTTTATAACTCATATCAAGTGATGGATGTCCAAAGTAAAAAAGCGGAATCTGGCACTCTAAGACTTGGCCTTTCGAGAAGCGTAAGCAAATCATATGCGTCAAAGGTATGTCACATTTCTCCATCATTCAAATAAATGCATGGTTGGCCTCTTTCTTTCAGCCCCTTTGTAGACTTTTTGTATAATACATAATAATTGGAAGATCCAATTGATAAATGCTTTCAGCCCCTTTCTAGACTTTTTGTATAATACATCATAATTGGAAGAGCCAATTGATAAATTTGTCCACCAGAAGAAGTTTGATAGCTCTTTCAATGAATTCATTTCATATTCCTTACATAAAATGCATTTAGTTTCTCATTTATTCTATGCTGTGCTCGGGTAGGCTCTTATTGCATTGTTTTCCTATTTGGTTGAAGATGCTATAGGGGTCAACATGGCATTGTTGGCCAGCGCCTTATACCATGAGAGAGCTACCCAAACGCTACTCCATGCATACGCTTTACGATAGTAGCACAAAGACCTCATGAGGTCTTTTAATTCCTATTGTAATTTTTACAGTGAAAGGCCCCACCTATAGCATGAAAGTATTTATGGGCAGTCTTGGCAAGCTAAGTCTTAGATTTGACTTTTGGTTTATGTCTTCTTAAAAGAGGTGAGTGTGAGTTTATATCGAGGAACTAACAGATTATCTGCATTATGAAAGAAAATCCTTTTCCATTTGCAGCTTTATCATTGAAATAACGGATTATCTGCATCATTGAACTTGTATTTATCTGTTAGAATTTTTATATCAGTTTCTAATGGAAATTGTTGGTATAATGAAAATTGAATTCGGAAAGTATCAAAACGAAGTATATTATGTTCCCTGGAACTGTTGATCACCATGGTTGGTTATTGCGGGATTGGATTTTACTTACACAGAAGTAGGATTTGATATCCGGAAATTAGAAAGATGTCAACAAGGTTTGCATGATGAAAGTTATGATCTATGTTCGAAAATGCTGAAAGAAAATTCACCGTTGAGTAAATTTGTGATGGTCAAGTATCTTATCTCGATGAAAACGACATGGATCTTCATAGCTTCTTGGGAATGGGTAAATTACATGGTTTTGGAATAATGTATGACTTCAATAAAGAACCACTAGCCTCTCATTTTGTCAATCCAAGTGAGGGACACTTGGGTGTTTCAGAGCTAATATGGGAGGTTCCACAACACAATGACCAGGAAAGGGGCTTCAGATATTATATTAGAGAAGATGCTGGTTGTTATCTACAACTTGAGGTGGCCGAGAATGTGTTGATCTTGACAACATATAATAGCAATGAGTTAAACTCAAGTTGAGCTTGACAAATCTTGAGGTTGAGATCTATAACGTTGGAATAGAGTTAGCTGATTTGGCATGGATGTCTGCTGCTAAAGTTATCTGCACTGAACTGCTAGCACTATGGGAAAAATGAATAACTTTATGATTGAAGGAAACAAAAAAGAAACACACAGTGGTATCAAAGAGACACACATATGATACGTATTAACACACAAAAGTACAGATGTGATGTACTTGATGAGCTTGACTTGATAACACATCTGCATTTCCATGGCCCTAATATGAGCGACTAGCATCCTGACAAAGGTTCAATAAGCTGGACCTCAGATGCCAAGTCTCCCCCCCTAGATGTATGCTCTCCACCCAGATGCTCGGTTCTATTTTTACAGAATGGGAGCATGCAGTAATTGTGCTTTAGCCAAAATACAACTCTTGCATTCTTAGACATCACATGAGAATCTAAAAAAGGCCCTCTCTCTCTCTCTCTCTCTCCATATCTATCTATCCATCCATCTAGCGGTATATCCGTGTGCATGTGCTCATGCATTGTGCGTGTGTGTATGTGTTGAGAGGGAGAGAGGGGCATAACAATGTGGTGTGGCATTCAAATGTGTCATTTAATGAGGTTAATTTTGTTCCTTTAGATTGTTCATTTGAAGTTTGGTCTGCTGCTCTCTCCATGTTTGACCACTCTCTTTGTTTCTTCACTGTGGACTTTCAGGCAGAGGTTGCAGAAGCAGACGAGTTGATACTAAGAAACTGGAGGTCGCAAAGCACCTCAAGGAACATTTCTGTGCTGGACAGTCTTGAGTTGCCATTCCCCATAGTCCCAGTTGGCAAAAAGTGCTCCAAATGGATCAATGTAAGAAACCCAAGCAAAAAACCTGTTGTGATGCAGCTCATTCTTAACTCAGCAGTGATTGTTGATCAATGCAAAGGGGGCAGTGATGAGCCCATTAACATCTGGGCTCAGACAAGTATCAATACATTCTCAATGGAGGAAAATGCAATCACTGAAGCATATGTCCATCCTAATAGCACAGCTTCATTTGGGCCAATATTCTTTCATCCAACAGATCGTTGTCTTTGGAGAAGCTCAGCTTTAATCAGGAACAATCTGTCTGGTGTAGAATGGTTATCTTTGTGGGGCTTTGGAGGGCTAGTTTCTTTGATTTTGCTTGAGGAATCAGAGCCTGTTGAGAGCCTAGACTTCAAGATGAACATGCCACAAACCCTTAATGTCACTCCTCAAGAGTTGTTGGTCCACATGGAGGGCACAAGGGCTGCATGCATTCACCCAATTTCGAAAGAGCTCTATGCAAAGAATGCTGGTGATTTGCCCCTTGAAGTCGAGAGAATTGAAGTCTCAGGCACCACATGTGGTTCAGATGGGTTCACCGTACATGGTTGCAGTGGGTTTTCTCTTAATCCAGGGGAATCAACTAGGCTCCTTATTTCTTATCAGACAGATTTCTCAGCTCCAGTGGTTCACAGGAACTTGGAACTGTCACTGTCTTCGATGGGTATTCTTGTATTCCCCATGGAAGCAAGCCTTCCTGCTTACATGCTGAGCCTGTGCAAGAAATCCTTCTTTTGGATGATGGTGAGGAAGGCATCAGTAGTGGTCTTGGCTGCTGCTTCAATAACCTTCCTCGTGTTTTCCCGCTTCTTCCTCCCTCAAATGACTGCCTCCAACACGCATACCCATTTGCCCAAAAGCAATAAGAGCTCGATCGCTACTTCAACCAGAAGTCTTAAAATACGCTCACAACATCAGAACCACATTAGTCCCAGGTTTCCTGAAACTATTATTATTATTATTATTATTATTATTGTTTAAAAATTCATTGCATTTTCTCTGTTTTAACTCTTGTTCCTCTTCTTAGCATTTCTGATTTTGTTGAGTTCATCAAATATATGGCATTGTTTTCCTTGTTTTTCCTGTTTGGATATGTCTTAAGCATGTCTTCTATGTGTTTTGAGGCTTGCAGGTCTGTGTCAAAACATGGGTATTTGGATGCATTAGGCCATTCTTTGCGTCACCCAAGCGACGTTGCGGAAACAGTAACAGCTGCTTCTCAGCATACAAATTGGGGGCCTAGTAACCAGAACAGAGTCTCAGCTTGCTTGGATGAGAGAGAGGGTTCCCCATTGTCATTGAAAGGTAGGGATACAATGGAGGAGTCAGCCTCAGCCCCATGCCAAACCCATCAACAAAACAGCACCAGCAACCTCACTGTCAGAGTTGAGAAACTGAAAGGAAAGAGAAGGACGAGAAGGGGCATTGGAGCCAAGCGTGATATCTCTAGCAGCCAGAGTGGGAATTCTACCCCATCTTCCCCCGTCTCTCCTCTCACACCCTTAGTAACTTCTCGACCGAACAGCCCACTTGTAAAGGGGTTCCCCACACGCACTTCTACTTCCATATCATCTGAGGCTTCTCCAGCAGTGGTAGACATTTGTTCTAAGCCAGAAACTCATAATTTTGTGAATAGAAGTTACGATGACAGTTATCCGAGCACATCATCATCATCATTGGAGCAGTTGAAAGAGAAGAGCTTTGTGCACAGGCCAAGAAGTGGTGGATCCAGGCCTGTCTTGATGCCTTCTGCTACATTTCCTTCAATGGGTTGGCGTGAGTCAAGCTTGCCAGTACGGGCTTCATCATCAATCTCTGCAATTGCACCGCCACCGTATCCTCGTGCACCAGGGTCCAGGATTGGGGCACCAAATATAGTGGAGGAGGGCCACCCTGATAACTTCACCTATGACATTTGGGGTAACCATTTCTCGGAGCTCCGGCTAATGGATCAAGGAAGGGCATGTTTTCCTGGCGTGCTGGGTGATTCTCAGAGTTTCTTTGCGAGGACACCACATGCTCAGGTCGAAAAGGGTCCTCTGGCACGTGCTGGTTCTCCAGCTCCTCCCAAATAGGTCATGTATGCTGTAACTTTTTTCATTAGCAATTAATGATCATTTTCTTTTTCCTCATATGAGGTTTTTGGAGCTCTAGCTATGGTTCTCTCATTCTCTCTCTTCTGCTTGTGTGGTTAAGTCAAGCTCAAATAGGTCCAACTTACTTCCGGGTCATGGGACTCTCTCTCTCTCTCTCACTCATTCATTAGATTCGGTATCACTGCTCTTACTCTCTTTCTTTTACATATGAGAGAATGAGGAAAACACATTTTAGTCGTACACATGGATTTGCTAGTCCACAACCTTGCTTTTGAAATTAGTTAAACATATTTTTAACTCCACTTACCTGAAGTTCTTGCCCATTGCTGCCACTCACTTTTGTACAAGGTGGCTTCATTTGTAAATGCCATTGCAATGAGATCCATTGGCTGGGTTGGTTTTGCTTTTAATGATAACACATTCCCCTGATGTGCACTTTTGACTCTCTTCGTTACTGGGTGGCCCTCATGACCCTTTTGATGGCTGCTGTGGGTTACAGGAAGTGAATCCAGTAAGGGCAACCGGCAGGGGTGGTTGAAGCCATGAGAACAAGAAACCAGATGGAATCCCCCTTGGGAACGATGCCCACCCTTCGCCACAAACCCAGTGGACACAGCATAGTCTGTCGATTGCTGTTTTTACCTCATGGGATAAAGGTTTATGCAGTAAGAGGAAAGGTTGGATATGAGTCTGACCCTATGTTCTTCGAGGCACCAATGCAAAATGGTTAGAGGGATCAAGGATGGCTAGATTTTCATCAAGGTTGGCAGGGAGATGGTTAATGAGGGGCAAGGCTGTTAAAGGCTACAGTAGTGGATTTTTTTGCCCTCTCGAGGACATTACATACCTACATTAAGCCAATGGAGGATGGAATCCCAGTCATTTGCCAGAAGCTCGCTCTTAATGGGCTATTGTGTTTATTTTTTCCTAAAAACGTTCTGGGGCTAGAGGCTGAGGTTGGTAAGCATAGTTTACTGAAGTTTCAAGGGCTCCCTACGCATTGTACCTATGTTGCGACCCAGGATGCTCCAAAGCCTACCCAGCCCTAACAGTTTATGGGTCACAGCTATTTTTACATGCCTGGAATTATGGTGTTTCCTGTGGAGTTGTGAACTAAGATATGCTCAAGAAAGTAGATTGGAAGATGATGACTGGTTTGTTTCTGGGCTTCCGAGAATCAAAATAGAGAGTAGCGGGCCCTCACCCATCCTTCCCCAAATCTGGCTGGTGCTAGAAGAAGCTAATTTCAAGGGACAAGCTAGAGCAGTGGAATTCAGAAAACTATGGTCAAGCGGGGCAGGGGTGGTGGGGCAATAGAGCCACGACCAACATTAAAGACAGCTACTGGTAAAATGGGAAGGAGAGGTTGAGATCACTATGAGTGGAAAAATCCAAGGGGAATGTATTACTGTAAAAAAGAAAGGATAGGAAGGTGGGGCATGAAGGAGGGATAAGAGAGTTAGCAAACCAATATCAAGGAGACCGATCCAACTGGGTGCTCTTGTGACAGTAGGTACAAGAATGAAGCTACAAGAGTTCCGGTACTGAAAAGTTCTGGCTCTCTAGACACAAATCTTGGCAAAATTAGTTTTGAGAGGGTACCTGAGGATTTAAATTCGAGTTACATCAAGGAGCAGGAGACAGCTGTGTTAATTGCATGGCTGTGAACGTGCCCCTAAGAGCTCAACAGGTGGCCCTCCTCAAAACCTAAAGGGCACCGGAGGCATTAAGACAGCAGATGGCTAGAATTTTATCCAACATCATCTGAGGATTCAACAGATGATGTTGCATCATTGCAAGCGGTGCCCATAAGGCAACCTTCTGGAATGACATAATGGCTCAAAGGTTCTTTGATTGCCGCTATAAAACCCCCTCCTCCCTTCGCATATTAGCTGAGTTGAGATCAACTATTGTGTTTGGTGGATTTTGCAGTCAACTACTATTACCTCGACACTTGGCCTATGGCCTCGTATCGTGTGTCGACACGTGGCAATGAGTGACTTATTATAATCATCATCACTAGAGCTTTTTCTCAACTATTGAGGTCGGCTATATGAATCCTGGTCTGCCATTCTACACTATCAATGGCCATATCCTTAGCGAGGTTATATATCCTTATATCTTTTTGCATTACTACCAACTATATTTTTTTGGGCCTATCTCTCTCTTTTTTTGAGCCTTCCACTTGATTTAACTCGCACTTCCTAATAGGTGCTGTACTGGGTATGAGCTGCACACAGCCAACCCACTTAAGTCTACTTTCTCTCATCTTATCACCTATTGGACCCGTACCTGAGTTGTATCGAATGCATTCAAGTGGTTTATTACAATGCATTGGGAGGATTTGAACCTTGTTGATTTTGAACTCCTCGTGTGGTTCTATGGTTGCTCCAACGACTTGGCAACTGACATAGGATGTAAAATTATATTATATATATTAAATATAATATTTTATTAATAAGAAAACAAATGCATGGACATGTCTTAGCAGTATCAGGTTTTTAAGCTGCCAAACTAGACACTTAAGACACTGACACCCATATCGGTGTCTATGTAAGACTGCAGTCAACCCATGTAAGGCTCTTAGCAACCGTTGTTAACGCATTTCTTATCCCCCAAGTTCTTTTTTTGCTTTCCTAAGGCTCTCCCTACTTTATTATTTTCTTCTAAAGAGTGGGCGTTCCCATGGCTTTTACACAGAGGGTATGGGTGCAGGATGAGAGAGAGTGGGCAGAGAGAAGAGTCCCCACATGGATCGCTGGGTTTACTGTAGTTGCAATCATTTCCTTTACCGCAATTCGGTAGTTCCATTCATGCTCAAGAGAAGACCACATTGCTCCGGTGCAGCTGCCTTCACCTTGACTATCAACGCCTGAAGGACGAAGCCACCCAGCAAATTATGATCTCTCTGCTTCTCCACCTTGGCCTCATTCCTGAATAGCCTACCGTGATCACCAAGGATGAAGGAAGACATTGCATTTCGATACATGGAGGAAGATAGATGGGAGGATGGGGCCTGTTTGACAATCGAAAACTTGAGATTTCGGAGAAGGAAAGACAATGGCGGGGTAGCTCCAGGCCGGAGCCCACCCTTGTTTTGAAGGCCATATGGATGTTATGCGATGCCAGCTGGGCATGGATGAGCCTTTATGGGATATTCGGATGTTAGAATACGTAGAACCAAGTTTGGCGTGCCAAGGTAGTGAAGCATAAAATGTGGTTTGGCCCATTTATTTTTGGGTTCATAACCAGTTTTTGGAAATGGCACACAATGGAAATTTTTTATTCCCAAAATCCGTAGATTTACTTGTTTCACCTTTTTATTCTTCATCTTAAACTATTCAAATTTTGATCCCTAATACCCCGTAGATTGTTTGAACCATATAAGAACAATTATCAATTTTAGCTTGAATAGTGTGTAGGGGATGCCTTCTTTGATCTATTTGACACGGGCAATCTCTTTTCCGTTCAGACGCCCTCTCAATTTGTGCTTGAATCCTTTTTGTATTTGCTTGTTCAGCTAATTCAACATCTAATTCAATAGCTTTTTTCATTGCTTTTCGAAATGAAACTTTATTTTTTAATTCGTAATTCTTCAATTCTTCGGGTTGGACCCTCAATTAACAAATTCGAGGACCCAATGTAGATTGAGACATGGATATGATTAGTTCTTTTTTGAATCCCTATATGTGCAATTCCTTGGAACCTTGAGGATATTCTCATATGTTTTTGTACATAATTCTTGATACACTGCCATATTTTTTCTTCTTCTTGTAGATTGTTCGAATGATCCTTTGGTTGTGCGAACCAAAAGGCATGATGACTATGGGTTGTGCCAAGTCTGAAACCAAGTGGATTTATTTTTGGTCCCACATCTATCTATATAATTTTCTATTATTTATTTTTTATATATTATTTAAATTTTATTTTATTTTCTTTATTTCAGTATTCAGTTAAGGTAAGACTTTTTTTTTGTTAAGACTTGATATGTCAAAATCAAACTACAAGGGGATTATTTTTTTCCCCATTAAAACAATAGTTATATGACAAGTGGGTCTTTTTATTGGATAATTGTTTTCCCTAGCTTGAGGTTTGAAGTTTTTCATCACGGCACTTGCGTTGATCTGTTAAAATCAAACTACAAGGGGATTATTATTTTTTCCTTTTAAAACAATAGTTATATGACAAGTGGGTCTTTTTATTGGATAATTGTTTTCCCTAACTTGATGTTTGAAGTTTTTTATCATGGCACCTCCATCGACTTTTGCTTTACTAATGAATGAATCAACTTCGTTCAAATTCATATTGTGACTAGCGTTAGCTGCTGCAGAATAAATCAATTTGAAAACGGGATAACGATTACTCTATAAGGCATGAGTTCCAGTATCATAGGTNTTGTTCATAAGAGCAACCATAG